GCCGCCGTCTGGATCTCCTTGCCAGTGATGCCCGCTCCGTTCGAGCTCACGCACTTCTTCTCAAACGTCAGGAGCTCCTTGTCCTTCGCCGCAAGGGTGCCCCTCATCGCGTCCAGGTCATTCTCGATCTTGTCCCCCTTGCTGTTCTCGTTCTTCGAGCTGGACTCGATGGCCGCCTCGAGCTCGCGAACGAACCTGTCGATGTATCCGTGCGCCGCGCGCGCGGCCTTCACGGCGACGGCCACGGCCTCGGGCATCTTCGCCTTGTCGACCGATGGCTCCGTCTGCAGCGACTGCTGCTGCTGGGGCGGCTGCTGCTGCTGTTGGCCCCCCTGCTGCTGGTTGTGACCGCGGCTCTGCTCGGCGTACTTCTCGTCGTAGGCGTCGTCGTCCAGAGTGGTGTTGTCCGTGAGCTGCAAGCCCTTGTCGTGACGATCGCGCTCGCTCTCCGAGTGCAGCCGCACCTGCAAGTACTTGGGCCACGGCACCAGCAGGGACTCAGGGATGGCAGGGTCGCGCTTGGTCTCCAAGGTTCTGGCCCTGATCATGGCCATCAGCACGTCCTCGTCGTACTTCTCCAGCGCCTTCTTGAAGGTAGTCCACTCCTTGAGCGTCTCGTTGCGGGTCAGCGTGTTGTTGAACTCCGCGGACTGCCTCGTCGTCGTGCGCATGATCTCGTCCACGAAATTGTCCGCGTCCATCGCGCAGCCGAACTTCTGGATCTCCTTCCACTTGGCCTTCCTCTCTTGGCCCTGCTTGCGCAGGCGGTACATGAAGGCGTTGTAGGCCGCCTTATCGGATTCGATCCAGTCGTGGACCCACACGGAGGCGTCGGCCTGGGCTCCTGGGCGGACCCTGGGCTCCTTTAGCGCGGGCGCCTCCTCGTCGCGAACCCTGTCGCCCTCCCTCTTGGCTACCTTGACCGCGGGACCGTCGGTGTCTCCGGTGGCCGGAACCACCGCTGCCGCGGCAGGCGCGCTGGAGCCGACGCTGCTGTCGACGGGCTCCGCTTTCACGGGCGCTGCCGCGGTGCCTGCGCGCACTGCTGCTTGCATCTTCTCGAGGCAGTGGCCCATCGGCCCCCTGTGGATCGCGGGGGAGGCGGACTTGGTAGCCGTAGCCCCCTTCGGGGGCATCTATCTCCTGGGCGGAGATCTGAAAACCGCGCCTTGCTTGAGCCAGGGCAGCTCCAAGGATGATGATGATGATGATGAGGATCGGGGTGATGGCGAGGATGAGGATGAATACGATGATGATGATTGCGATGAGGATCGGTGCGATGATGAGGATGAGGATGAAGATGAGGATGATGATGATATAACGACGACGTGGGGATAGCATTAAGAGGATAAGAGGATGAGATGACGATGGGAACCCCACGCTCGTGGAGGATTGTGGTTTTCAACTTTCTAGTTGGCTGGACCCTCCACATCGCCCCAACGCGTAGCAGGTCCAACTCCAACCGCGCCTCCTGAGGCCCCTCATGACGTGTCGAACCCGATCTGCTGGTCGAACCACATCCTGAGGTCGTCCTTCGTCTTCAGGATGGTGCCGTTGATCTTCTCCGCGGCGCGCTCGACGACCTCTTTGTACTCCTCGGTCCTCCTGCTGGTGATGCCCATGATGTACTTCTTGTTGCCGTCGAGCATGTAGGCCTCGCCACGCCTCTTCCCGTTCGGCTCCCTCACGGTGACCGTTGCGGGCAGGGTGATGTTGCCGCTCTCGACCTCGGCCTCATCCTCCTGCTTCGGGGGCGCCTTGGCCTTCTTCGGGGGCTTCAGGATCAGCGCAACCGTCTCGCGCGTCTTGCCCAACAAACGCATGCGGACTGTGCAGGGAGTCGACGGCCCCCTCTTTGGCTTGTCCTTGCCCTTGCCCGCCTGGCTCTTCGTCTTGTGATTGCCCTTCCCCTTCCCCTTGCTCTTCCCCTTCGCCTGGCTCTTCGTCTTGCTCTTGCTCTTGCCCTTCCCGTCGCCCTTGCCCTTTCCCTTGCTCTTGTCGCCCTTCAGCGCCGTCTGGGCGGTCCTGGTATCGCGCTTCTGGCCCCCGATGGCCGCGTTCGGGATCGGGGCCCGCTCGCCGCCGCCCTCTTCGGCCGTGAGGTCGACGGTGCGTGCGTCGCGGCACGCTTTGCATTTGCACGTCATTCCGCAGAGCTCCACGTCGTCGTCGGAGAACTCGACCTCGGTCTTAGCTGCTTCGTGACTGCCATCGCCCTCCGCCGCCTCGCCCATGCTGGGGGGAAAGAGCGCCCTGACCGCCGACGCGCTCACGTCGGCGGCCTCGCCCTCCACGGGGCCCGCCGCCGCCGCGAACGACGGCGAGTCCTCGAAGGAGCCGCCACTGGCAAGAGCTGCACCGCCATCATCTTCTGCAGAGGGAAGCCTGATCATCTTCACCAGCTGCTGAAGCACCTCGTTGCTCAGAGCCTTATCCGCCTGGGCTGCGTTGTAGAGGTGCTTCGCCATGACCCGCCAGGCGTCTGCTGCCAGGCTGGCCGCCCTCTCCTGGAAGCGCATATCGCACGCGAGGATGCCGTGCCTCTTGTCCAGCTCCTGGAAGGTATCCTTCAAGCACTTCTGCGCTGGAAACCCCGAGGGTGCAACCTCGAGGAGGGTCTTCAAAACCTCGGCGTAAGGCAACATGGACGTCTCGTCGATGGCCTGCGTCCGCGAGCTCCCGTACCCCGAGCCGTCCCACGCGAAGCCAGGGTCCTTGAGGACCGCCTTCGCGTCCCACTTGTCGGCGAGGGTCGCGTGGACGAACTGCGACTCCCTAGGTCGCGGGCGCCTCGGGCGCAGCGCTGACGCCATCGTCGGGCCGCCGCTCTCACCAGTTGCCAAAATGGCAAAAATGCCTGAGGGTCACGCGGCTGCGGAGAGACAGAGGAGGCGGAGCATGAGGAGGAAGCGAGAGGACGATGACGATGGATCGTAGTGGTAACGATGGTGATGATGATGGTGATGATGGTGATTACGATGATGCTGATGATGATGATGATGACGATGATGACGATGATGGTGGTGATGATGGTGGTGATGGTGTTTGTGACATTGATGGCACCTCCACGCTCGTGGAGTTTTTTCTTTGTTTGTTTTTTTTCAAGTTTTTTCTCCGGCCTGCCTCAAGCGTCGGGCTCGGGCTCGGCGACCTGGTACGGGTCTGAAGCGGCGACCTCGCACTGGTCTGGCGTCGCCGCACTGCCCCCGTCGGACTCGCCCCACGGCGCAGCGGGATTCACGCCCGTCAGCGCCACGAACCTCAGCAGGAGATCGGCCGTCTGATCACTTATGTCCGCAAACTCGTCGGCCCGCATCGGCGCATCAGCCCACGGCGGCCAATCGGACGGCGCCGTCGTCGAAGGCGTAAATGGCGCGGGCCCTGTCCACGAGGCCGCCTTGGACAACGCTGGTGCCGACGGTGCCGCTGCCGACGGTGCTGCTGCCAACGGTGCGCTGGCGAAGGTGCTGCTGGCGAAGGTGCTGCTGGCGAAGGTGCTGCTGGCGAAGGCGCTGGCGCCGCGACGGCCACTAGCCCCACTGGCAGCACTGGCCTACATGGCCTGTTGGCGACTAGCCCCACTGGCAGCACTGGCCTACATGGCCTGTTGGCGACGGTGATGCTGCCGAGGGTTGCTGACGCTGGCGCTGGCGACGGCGTCGCTGGCGCCGAAGGTGCCGCCGACGAAGATGCTGCCGACGATGATGCCGAGCTGCCCAGGGGTACTTGTCCGATTGCAACGCCTCCTACTCGCACTAGAGCGGCCCCAATCCGTTGGTACTCGAAGCTCAGCGTCCTCTCCTTGTTCTGCAAGTGAATCGCCTGCATCTGCAAGTGCCCAGCCGTGCCAAGCCGTACCTCCTGCTGGAGATCTGCGTACTGCTGGCCGTACTTGCGCTTCATCCCCCTGTAGATCGCGCGCTCGGTGCTCCTCACCCCGATCTTGCCGAACATCTTCTCCCTGTCCGCCTCCTGTGGGGGTGGCACGTGCACGAACGGGTTGAGGCCCCAGCTCAGGCCCGCCCCCACGGTCGGCTGCGCGATCGGCTGCACCAAGGGCTTCTCGTCGTGCTGCTGCTTCTTCTCGTCGTGCTGCTTCTCTTCCTCCTCCACCTTCGCTGGCGGCGGTACCACGTCTGTACCTTCACTGACGCCGAGTACCACGTCGTGCTGCTTCACGTCGTGCTGGACGAGGGCCCGCGGCTTCTCGTCGCGCTGCTGCTTCTCGTCGTGCTGCTTCACGTCGTGCTGCTGCTTCTCGTCGTGCTGCGGCTTAGCGTCGTGCTGCGCGTTCTGGTCGTGCTTCGCCATCTCCCGCCGCTCCCGCGCTTCTACCGCCTGCGGCGGAGGGGGCATCTTCGGCGCCTTCGGCGCCTTCGGCTGCGCTTTCGACGTCGGCTGCAACTCCTTCTTCGTCCCCCTGGGCTGCATCGCGACGGCCCTGGTCGTCTGCAGCGGCGGCGGCATCGGCGCCGCGACGGCCACTAGCCCCGCTGGCCTCACTGGCCCACGTGGCCTGATGCTGCCGAGGGTTGCTGACGGCGCTGCTGGCGACGGCGCTGCTGGCGCCGAAGGTGCTGGCGAAGGTGCTGCTGCCGACGGCGCTGGCGAAGGTGCTGGCGAAGGTGCTGCCGAAGGTGCTGGCGAAGGTGCTGGCGCCGAAGGTGCTGCCGAAGGTGCTGGCGAAGGTGCTGGCGTCGACGGTGGCCTCCGCGCCTTCGCCTTGGACGTCGGCGCCCACGCGGGCATGGGGCTGCCCTCGTTTGCCTCGTCTGCACTCCTCTGCCTCGTGCCCCTGCTGAAGAGCAAGGCCGTGTCTTGCAAGGGCACGCTTCCCTCCTTCACGCAGTCCACGAGGTTGCCCTTCGAGTCCCATATCAGCTTCGCCATGGCTCGGGCCCGCGGGCCCCGCGGGCCCCCCGATGGGGGGCCTGCGCAGCTACATTGAGCCCAAATGGTTACGGAGGAGGACGCGGAGGAGGCGGAGGAGGGGAGGAGGCGGAGGAGGGAACCTCACTTAAGTAAGACAAATTAGAAGATACTTATGATATCCCGAAGATAATTAGAGGATGATTATGTCATAATTATGTTGAAATTAGATGATACTTAGAGGATAATTATCCTCTACATCATGTTGATTAGATGATAATTATCCTCTGAATCATGTTGATTAGAGGATAAGTATCCTCTAAATCATGTTGATTAGAGGATAATGGAGAATTATAATCCTAGTCTAACTGAGCTACTGGGCCGGACCGCCGCGCCGCTGCCCAGGCCGCCGGAGGCCGCTGGGGTCTGCGCCGTGGGCGACCGAAATGGCCGCCGAGTGTTCGAGGACGGCTGGCGACGGCGACATGGCCGCCGAGTGTCCGCCGACGGCTGGCGACGGCGACGAAGACGACGCGGCGACCCCGGCGGCGGCCGGGCGGCGACGGCGCCGCGCCGGACCCGCCGCGCTCCCCATAGATCCGATGTCGTGATTTTTTCAATGCGCGGCCCCCGGAAGTCTCGACCCATTCCCCAGGACCGGTTTCTTATCCCGAGTCGTCTTTTGACGGTCCCGAGGCCCGGCGAGGGCCCCTATACGGGCCGAAATGAGCGAAAAACCTCCGTCTTGATTTCTTCCATGCGCTGGACCTCGGGCTTTGTTGGCGGAACAGCGTCGGACATCTCAGGGTGGACGTTGCCTGGCTCCTGGCATCGAGGGCGGACAAAGCTCGGCGGACCCGAGGCCCAGCGAGGGCCCCAGGGGCCCAACTTAGCGAACAACCTCCGTCTTGACTCCTTCAGTGCGCTGGGTCTCTGGGTCCGAGGCCCGCCCCCGGCGGCGTCGGCAGGTCGCCCGAGGGCCGCCGGCGGCCGGCCTGGGCGGCCCGCCTGCGGCGGGCGAAGCGGCCGCCATCGGCGGAGTGGCCGCCAAGCCGCGGGCCGGGCCGCGGCCGTCGGCGGCCCATCGCTGAGCGGGGGCCGGGGCCTGCCGCGAAGTGCTCCTAGAACCCCTCATCCCTCCCTCTTCCTCCCTCCTCCCTCCTTCTCCTCCGCCTCCGCCTCCTCCTCCTCCTCCTCCTCCTCCTCCCTCCTCCTCCTACTCCTCCTCTCCTCCTCCTCCTCCTCCTCTACTCCTCTCCTCCTCCTCCCTCTCTCCTCCTCCCCTCCTCCTCCTCCTCCTCCTCCTCCTCCTCCTCCTCCTCCACCTCCTCCTCCTCCTCCTCCTCCTCCTCCTCCTCTTCCTCCTCCCTCAAAAAAAAGCTTCGGCGACCAGGGACGGTGACCTTCAACCACAGAACCTATGTGCTAGATAATAGAGCTGCCTGCAGCCAGACTCGTTCCGAGAGCACGTCGTGCAAACAACGAACGATTCGTAGAACAGTATTTGGTGGGCCTCTCCCAGATCCCCGACGTTATGATTTGATCTTGACGTCGCGTCCCAGCTTCTCATCCGGAGGCAAATTTTTGACGGTCCTGAGGACTGGCACGTGCCCCTGGAAACCAAGAATAGCAAACAAAGCTCCCGTCATGCGTTTTCGCGTTGCGAGGGGGGTCTGGGCAGTAATCCTTCCTCAGCCAGACATGTTCTACGAGCATGTGATGCAAACCACACAAGATCCTTAGAACATTCTTTGGTGGGCCCATCCCAGACCCCCGACGCCATGTTTCCCATCACGTCGACCCCCTGAAGTCTCGACCTGTTCTCCGGGACTGGTTTCTCATCCTGAAATATGTCTCCGAGGCCGACAGTAGCGAGAAACCTCTCCCGTCTTGATTCTTTCATGAATCGAGGGGGTCTGGGATACGCGAGCCAGGACGCTTCGCCGCTTCCTGACATCGGCCAGCCTTAAGCCGGGCACGTCCCCCCACGGGCGGATTTTAGGCGACAAGCGAAAAGTACGGCAAACATTTTCAAACATCGCTTAGAACAACGAAAAAAACGAGACATCGTCCCGAAATTCGTTGTTGCACGATTTGTTGCACTACAAAAAGGACCGCGCCCGACGCAAAGGCCAGCCGTCGGCGGCCCTCGGCCGGCCGCGGCCGGGCCGAGCCCGCGGCCGCCGGCTGCGGGCTGGCCGCCGGGAGCGCGGCGGGGGCCGGGCGGTCGGAGGCGTCGGCCGCCGGGCGCGTCCTGTGGGGGCGCCGGGAGTGCGGGGGCCTTTCTGTGCGCGCAATGGGCGTGCCCGCGTCCGAGGAGGACGAAATCCAGACATGGTGGCGTCGTAAAAAAAAATCCGGGCGGGAGGTTTTTGGCTATTTTCGGCCCCGGGGGGCCCTCGTCGGGCCCTAGGACCGTCAAACAACGACTCAGGACGAAAAACCGGTCCGGGGGAGAGGGTCGGGACTTCCAGGGACGCCGTCCTGAAAAAATCAAGACGTCGCATGTCTGGGAACAGCGCCTCCCCCTTGACGCCCTCGGGTCCTGAAAGAAATGCGCCGTCGACGGGAGGTTTGGCGCTGCTTTCGGCCTCCGGGGGCCCTTCTGCCGGGCCTCGCGGCCGTCGAGCAAAAGACGACTCGGGACGAGAAGTCGGTCCTGGGGCATGGCAAAATCATGACGTCGGGGCGGGTCTGGAGCCGTGGACAGGTCTCCAGAGGCGAGCAAGTGGCACATCGGTCGCGATAGCAGTGGCCTCCGCTCTGAACACTGCCCCCCCCCCCCTCTTTCGAACGGAAAACGGTTGGGGCGGCCTCACAGGCCTCTCACGCTCTCCGGCCACAGAGTACCATCGCTCAGACACGCGGTGGCCCACGGAGAGCGGAACGCCACATGCCTGCAGGTATCCACCGCCTCGCGAGAGGGCCCCCTGGGCCGCGGCCCCGCGGACACGGGGCGTCGGTTCGCGGCGGCCTTGCGCGGAGCATAGCCATGCGACCGCGCATCTCCACGGCGTCGCGACCCGGAGGACGGACCGCGAGGGCGTGGCTAAGTTATGGCTACGCTCGCCGCCCGTGGGGCTCCGTGATGACTCGGGGCGATGGCAGGCCCGAGAAGGAAGAGAGAGAGAGAGAGGGAGAGAGAGGGAGCTGCGGCCGTGGAAAGAGACATTCTCCGCTCTTCGGTTTCTCCTGGCGGCGAGCCCCTGGACTGGACAGTGCGAAGGGGCGGGCCTTCTCGGAGCTGCTCAGGAGTCCTCCGGCCTTCTGAGAGGTGCTCTGTAAGCCCTCCCCGAAGACCCGGGCGACCTCTCGGAAGGCCGGAGGCCTTCTGAGAGGCCCCGCCGCCTTCCGATCGAGGGCCTTCTCCGTCTCACGCGCCCCCCTCGCTCGCCACCGACTCTCCGGCTGGAGCTCTCGGAGGCCTGGCCTGCAGCGTCCTGTGGTTTCTCCGAGGGCCCGATCCTTCGCCGAGGGCCCTTTTCCCTGCGGGCCGCGCGCCGCGCGGGCACGTCCGCCGCCGCCGCCGGCGGCGTCGTCGTCGACGGCACAGGATCTGGGCTTGCCGTGGGTTATCGCACTCTTGTCGGGATGTGCCACAGGTGCCCCTGGCCCAGGGTGCGGCGGTGGACAGACCTTCCTTTGGTAAACCACCCCTTAGTGAAAACGGCCTACGCCCGAAACCGACGGACCTGGACCCGCAAACAGAAACAGCCGTGACGCCCTCTCGCGAACGGAAAACCGCCAATGCACGAATCGACGCGTCAGGGTAGGAGATCTATCAAACTCCGAAAGATGCCCCCCAGCTTTTCTGGCTCCACTGTGGAGCCCCCTGGGGCCCCCTGGGCCTCGTGAGGGGGTGCTCTCTGGAGGCCGGGGGGGGGCCCCCTTGGAAAATCCTGCACGGGGGGCACCTTGGGCCAGGAGGGGCACTTCTAGCAGCACCCGATCTTTTGGGGGGCTCCTCCCATGGTATGGAGCCCACAAGGGACGTACGCGCCCAGCAATGTACACGAACACGACCCCTCAACCCGCGAGACCGTCTGCGAGATACGAGCATTCGCGCAATGCGAACTCTCGAAACCAACGTGGATTCATGTACGTGTATGTCCTTCTTTTGCTCCTGACATGGCCGGATCCGCATGGCGGATTCCCCGGACACCCTGAATCCAAAGACGTCTTCATCTCTTCGGGGCGCGTCTTTTACTTCCGCCGACCTTCCGCCGCCTTCCGCCGAGGAAGAGATGACCACTCCGTCAATTCTCGAAGGTAAGGCCCTTGTTGGAACGCGCCGCATGGAGATTTTGGTCGGAGCGCGCCCCGGGCCCTGTCTGGGCAACGATTCCGAGGGGGAGAGATGCCGCCCTCCTCGCGTCGCGAAAGAGCTTGCGTTTTGTGAGCTACGTGGGGCCTCTGGAAGCCCGCACCGGGCCAGGGGGCAACAAGGCAACGAGACAGCTCCCAGCTTGGGCCCCACCGTCAGTCAAACGGACGAGCACGAATCGGGAGCATCCCAAAAGAATTCTTCTGGAATGCGCCCGATTATTTCGAACACGTGAGGGCCAAACACGCGGGGCCGTAGGTTGCGTAATCGGTTGCGCCATGGGCTTCTCCATGCATGGGTTGCATCACGGGCTAGGTGATACCATAGCTTGTGCCACAGGTTGCATGTTTCATCGGTTGCGCAATTCCTTTGCACCATCTATGAATTTCGCCAGCGAGGTTGCAGCACTCATGGCGTGCGCCGTTGGATGCGCCATGTATAGAATGCGCAATTCGTTCGCCATGAGTCGGGCCGTAGGCTGCCATGGGTTCTGTAGGCTGCGCGGTATGTTGCGGCATGGCTTGCGCTGTTGGTTGCGCCAGTGGTGGCGCCATGGGTTGTGCCAAGGTGTGATCCATCTATACGCCGTCCGTGGGTCACGCCATAGGCTGCGCCCTCTGCCTCCAAAACTTACGACGGCCTGCTGGCTGCGGCATCGGATGAGCTTACGGCCGCCGAGCATGAATATGGCGTGCCAATAGGCGCATCATAGGTTGAGCCGTCGGCTGCTGAATCTAAGAAAGGCCTGCTCTTGGTTGCGACATGGGTTGCGCCGTCGGCTGCCGATAATTAAACCGCCAGCCAACATGTGCGACTAAGCAGCCAGCCAGCCAGGTCAGTCAGTCAGTCATTCATTGAGTTTGTGGTGCAATCAGTCAATCAGCTTAGGCAGCCAATCTGGGCCATGCCCGACATGAACACAGACCACGGTGGACGACAACTGAGCGACGAGAAGAAACGGGTCATACTCGAGATGGCATAGCGACCTGACGCGGTGGCTTACGCGGGCAGCCAGCGCGGCACGCCGCATTGGAAACGAGGGCGCTTTTGCGTGCCCTTCCGCAGGAACGTACGCGCCAATGTCGGTGCAGACGACCCTGCTGTTTGTTCTGCGTCGCTCAACTGGCCTAGAACCCAGGGGTGAGATCGAGAGCTCGTGGGCACAGGCACGCGATCGAGAGCCCACGACGTCGAGGTCTGGGGAGGCAGGGGAGGGGCAAGGCCAAGACCGAGACACGCTGGCGACTCCAAGTCAGACAGAAGACGACCAAACTGGATGGCCTCAAAAGGGTTCGTACGCCTGTCCCGGCGTCGGGCGCAAGCCTGCGAAATCCCACCAGCCCTTTGGGCGTGAGTGGTTTAGAGAGCCCGCTCTGTTCTCAACCCCCTTCTTCCCCTTCGGGGAGGGGTTTACCCCTCCCCCTACCCCCTCCCCCTGGACCTGGAGAGGTCCTTTCGCTGGTGGTTGGAGGGGTCTTTTTCGACTCCTGGGAGGGCTAAAAAACTACACCCCTCACGAGGATTCTGGCCCCGACGGGGGGGGGGGGGGAGAAAAAACCCGCCCCTCTTCTTTGAAGCCAATATCATTGATTTTACTACGGTGTTGGCCCCATTTTGGCCTTCTGAGGGGGCAGCGCTAATTAAAGCTCCCCTCTTCTTTCAAGCCAAAATCATTGATTTTACGAAGGTTTTGGCCCCATTTTGCCCTTCTGAGGGGGCAGCGCTAATTAAAGCTCCCCTCTTCTTTGATCGATTTCCTCCAAGATGGCCCCAAGAAGCGCCCAGGAGGCACCAAGAGGCCCCAAGATGGCCCCAAGAGGCCCCCAGGAGGCCCCCAAGAGGATCCCAAACGGCCCAAAGAGGCCCCCCCGAGGCACCCAAGACGCCGAAAAGCCCATCAGGACGACCCTCTACTCGCCTGGGCGTCGTTTCTGGACGGGCAGGAGGAGGGGCCCGAACGACTCACACCAGGACGAGGGGCCCGAACAACTCACACCACGAGAAGCCCGAACGACTCACACCAGGACGAAGAGCCCGAACGACTCACACCACGAAGAGCCCGAACGACTCACACCAGGAAGAAGGGCCCGAACGACTCACACCAGGACGAGAAGCCCGAACGACTCAAACCACGAGGAGCGCTTTCTCTCCCTCCTCCTCCGCCTCGTCCTTCTCCCGCTCCCACCACAAGGAGGATGTACAAGGAGGCGGGAGGAAGGAGGAACAGGGGAGATATGCGGGGGCAGGCGGAAACACGCCTGAAAAACACGACTGTCGGCATGCTTCGCTAGAGTTGCTGTTTTGAGATGGGCTGGTGGGGATACGCGAAGCGTGAAGAATTCAGAACCAAGAGGAGAGGGAGGAGGAGGACACTCAGACATACATCGACATAGTTCTGACGTCCTTGGCCGAGGCTCTGGGAACTTGCACCTGTCCTCGGAACAAGGGTAGAGAAAATCCTGCCTGCTCTGTTTTGGCCCTCTTTCCCGTCGGCAGCCCACCCAATCGAAAGCAAAATTGTGACCCCAACTCTCTCTCTCTCTCTCTCTCAGTCTCCACACAACTCCTCCTTTCAGCTGCACCCCCCCTCCTGGGCGCGTAGTCTGCTGGCGCGGCGTACGGAATGCTGCCATGCTGCCCAGGTGGCCCAGCCGTCCCAGGCGGCTCACGTGGCGCAGCCGCGTAGTCCACCACTGGCCTCGCGTACGCGAACTGCGTGCTGCCAGGCATGGACGGCATGGACGGCATGGACGGGCTGTCCGGTGGATAGGCGGCCGCAGCCGATCTGTACACGGGCGCGTACTCTGCCGGCCCCGTGTGCGGACCGCCCTGCAGGGCCGGCTGGTCGGGCGGGTAGGCGTGCTCGGCAGTGCTGGGAGCACGCAGCTCGTTCCGATAGGCGTCCCCCGCCCCCGCGAGCCTGAGGGGCAACGATTGGGGGACCAGCTCAAGCGGGGGCAAGCATCGACCTGGAATCGGCGATACATCGCCGATAGATCGGCGATATATATATATATATATATATATATATGCCCCCGATAGCGAATCCGGACGTTTCGTGGCGGGGTAGGCGATCAGGCCCAGGCATCGGCGATGAATGGGCGATTGGGGGTCGATGCGTTCCCCCCTGAGCCTGTCCCCTCGCCGTGGGCTTTCGGGCAACAGCTCGGCGCTCCGTCGGCCGCTCGGGAGGATCCTGGCACCCCCGGAGCGCCCTCGGTGAAGCGCAGCTGCTGGGAAGCATCCCGAGGCCCGAACACCGCCGAGGACCTTCAGAGAAACATCCCAAAAACCTTCAACACACCGAAGCCCACTGTCGCCCCTGAGAGCCCCGCGTACTGCACGCCGCCCTGCAGAGGCGGCTGGCCGGGCGGGTAGACCGGCGCGCTGGTCCCGGGCGCCGCGGGCCCCGGGCGGCGCAGAGCGCCGCTGAAGGGCGGCGGCTGGCCAGCCTCGGGATGACCCAGAAGGAGTCGAGGGGGTGGTGCAATAGACCCAGACCCCCTCGCGTTGTGACAAAAAATCACGACGGGAGGTTTTTCGCTATTTTCGGCATCCGCGGGCCCTTCCCGGGCCTCGGGACCGTCAAAACACGATTCAGGACGAAAAACGGGTCCCTGGGAAGGGGTCCAGAACTCTGCGGGTCGACGTTGTGAAAACATCACGACGTCGGAGATTTGGGGATTTGGTGCAGTAGATTTGTGGGGCTGCAGTACATTACATTTGTGGCGTGCAAGTCATTCCGGGGCGCAAGTGTCCTGCTGGATTTTCGCGTGCAATGCATTTTACCTGCAACACAATTCTCCGGCGCAGTACATTTGCAATACAATTACCCGAAATCTACTGCACCACCCCCTTTCAGCTGGACTCCTTTTTGGGTCACTCAAACAGCCGGGAAGGTGGCCGTGCTGGGGAACTGCGGCGCGCCGAAGGGCTCCGGGCCAGGCGGCTCCGGCGGCGCCTGCCGCGGGGCGTCGTGGTACGCCGCAGGGGTCTGGCCGCCGGGCGTGGAGCCCCCTCCGATGGGGGGGCGTCAGCTGACCACCCCACCCAGCCTGGCCCGGCCGACCCTGGGCTGTGCAGCTCGGGGTCGGTGCACGCGCCCTCCATGGCCAGGGCGGGAGGGCGCGTTGCAGCGACCCCGTGCCCAGGGATGCGCCCACTGGCCCGGGATGGGTGAGGGTGTCCGCGTTCCCTGAGGTCCCGGGATTTGCAATTTTTTTTCGCAGCGGGCGGTTTCGCCCCATGTCGGGCTCTGGGACCCCTCACACACCGATGCGGCTCGAGAAATGGCACGGGAAGATGGGGTCTCTAGGTTCCGGGCGTGCTTTTTCGCGATGTTGCATTCCCAGATATTCGATGTCGTGATTTTTTTAGTGCGCGGTCCCCCGGAAGTCTTGACCCATTCCCAGGACCGGTTTTTCATCCTGAATCGTTTTTGACGGCCCCGAGGCCCGGCGAGGGCCCCTGGGGGCCGAAATTTGAAAAACCTCCGTCTGGATTTTTCCAATGCGCTGGATCTCGCGGGTTTTTTATATTGGGGGGGAGGAACGTCGGACATCTCAGGGTGGACGTGCCCCGGCTCCTGGCATCGAGGGCGGGTAGTGCCCACTCGGCGGCGTGGCCGACCGCCCGGAGCCCGCGCGCCCGGGCGCGGGGCTCGCCGAGCGCGAGCGCGGCCGGCTGGTGATCGAGGGCGCGGAGGGCGGCCGCTGCCCCGAGCCGGGGGGCCCCGGCGCCCACTTCCAGCGGCCGCCGCTGCGCGGGGGGCTGGGCCCCGCCGAGGGGGGGCTGGGCCCCGCGGAGGACCTGGCCGGCCAGCCGTTGCACTGCCCGGGGAGCCGTGGCCGTGCCCCGGGGGAGCGATCGACGGCCTCTCTCTCTCTCTCGAGTGGGGGGGGGGGGGGAGCCACGAGCGGCGAGAGCGCAGCCGCATCCACGCCCCCGCGGGCCAGATCCCGGAGTGCGAGCCCAAGGCTATAGCGCGGCCTGCGCTCCGCGCGGGGCAGCCGCGACACAAAAAAGCGCCGCATCCACGGGGCCGCGGCCCGGGGGCCACCTTTTGATGCAGGTGCGTAGTCCCCGACAGGGAGGCGGGTCTGAAATGGCTCGCCTGGGAGGTTTGGTGCCCCGTCCCAGCATCTTGCGAGGGGGGGGTCGAAACCGATGGGCAGCCCCCAGGGCGGGCCAGGACCAAGCTCCCCGAGCTGAGGCTGGCCTGCCTCTGGCTCTGCGTCCCCGGCAGCACGAGGGGCGGCACCGGGGAGCGCGGCTGCGAGCGGGGCAGCGAGCCTCGAGCCATGGAAGGAGGCGGGCCCTGGCGGGTCCTGGACCCCTGGGGCGTTCCCCCTGGGGCAAGGTCTGACTGGGCCCAGGGACGCACAAATAAAGATGCACAAATCCCGAGCTTCACTAACATTTCCTGGATTGTCGTCGTCCCCCCGCTTCCCAGGTTTTCCCATCATATCCTGGAGATCGACGATGGTTTGTGCCTGTGTATTGGTTCCGCTCCTGAGATTCTTCATCCTGTGAGCTGTTCTGCTGACGGCCCCGCGGTCCAGCAACGGCCCCCAGAGTACGCACGAGGAAAGTTCTTAAAGGCGACACCACCATCTCGAGGCGCCAGGGAGGGACCTCCCGGAGGGGCGCCCCCCCCCCCCCCTCCCCGCTCAAGGCATCCCCACGTTGTCTCTACCTCGGGAAGGCACGGTGGAGCCCCCTCGCTGGAGGATGCCCCCCCCTGGTGGTGGTGGTGGTGGCGTCACCTCTCCTGCCTCGACGGGGGCCGACAGCGGCCGACGACCTCAGGACCCGCTCGCTTCCACGGCGGGGAGCCTGCAGGGGGCAGCACCCGCTGGGGCAGCACGCCCGCGCTGAAGGGCATCGACGCCAGCGAGCTGGACGAGCCGATCCCGCCGGACCTCCCCGACGCCGCGGAGGGCGACACCATCCTCGCAGGCCTCGCGGGCTGGTGGCCCCCTGCTCGGAGGAGGGCCCGCGTCGAGACCACGGCGGCCCACCCCCCCTGGCGATGCTGCGTCGCTCTCGTTGGGCCTCCCGTGGAGGCTCCTCGCCGCCGCGGCTGGACCCCCGCCTCGAAACTAAGGGTCCCGGCTGGGGTCCACACGGGGACCGGTGCGGAGCGAGGGGGGCCGTGCGGGCGGGCTGCGGCGGGCTCCGCTGGGGCCCCTCCGACCTTCCGCCAGCGCCGCGGGCCTGGTGGCCCCGCCGGCAACCGCGGCAGGCCTCGCGCCCAGCCGGGTGGAGGAGCTGGGGATCCGCGTCGACCCGAACTCCTCGGGGCTCCCCGCGCCGAAGGATATCGCGGACCTCGGAGACTGGAGGACCCGGCCGTGCGGCCAGTTGGCAGAGCTGCCCGTGGCGCTGCTCCCCACGCCCGCGGAGCCCGCCAGGAGCTGCGAGCTGGCGGGCAGGGCCCCCGCTGCGGCCGCCCTGGAGGTGCCGGCGTCGGCCTGCACGCGGTGGCCTCGCTCCATGATGAACTGTCGCAGCTCCTCGGGCGTGATGACCACATCGACAGTGCCGTCGTTGTCCACATCGACTCCGAGCGGGCCGATCGCGTGCTGGTGGATGTCGCCGGTGTTGCCGAAGGACAGGCCCATTGGCAAGGTATTGGGGTCCGTCCACCGCTGCTGCACCGTGGCTACATTGGGCTGGAACGTCGGCTCGACCATCTCGGCAGCAGCCCGCAGCCACTTCGCTTGGGGGACGGCCGGGCAGGGTGGGGGGAAAGGCCGTCCCCCTTGACCCACGAGCGCGTTCGGCGAGGAAGCATGGGCGGTGAGGGAGGCGAGCAGCAGACGGCCAGGGCGCGCGGACGCCTCGCAGCTGCTCGATAAGAGCGGCGGGGAACTTGGGAGCAAGGGCGGGCGACACCACCACCATCGCGAGGAGCCAGGACATGTCCTTCTCATGGCGTGCTGTGCCTGCTTTGGGGCGTGAGCGACACCACTACCACGCTCTGGTGCTATCCACATCGAGGCTCACTTTCGGGAGGAATCGTGGACCTCCTCGCTGGAGGTGGCCCGCTGCTGGTGGTGGTGTCGCTTCCCCTTCCTCCGAGGCCCTTCGCGCATCGTGCGGCACGATCGTGAACTGAAACGCCCGCGCCGAATTCGCGCGACGGTCACATTCGAGAGGGCAGGACTGGCACGCGCTGGGCGTCATGCAGTGAAGGCACGGCGCGACGCTGGCGAGGCGTGCCGGAAGTCGCATGGTATCCCCGAGAAGCATTGCGAAGACGCGCGACAGGTGTATCGACGGTGCGCTGGCGAGGAGAGCGGTGACGCACCTGCACACACCGCTCCAGCTGCGGAGAGAATCGTGGGAGCGGGGGGCTGGGTTCCGGGGCGGCGGAAAGACGGCGGGCACTGAGCAATCCGAGGGGACAGGAAATCGAGGTCCGTGCTCTCGTGGTCGGGATTCCGAAGGTGCGGCCCTGTGGAGACGCAATCTCGTGGACACGTTCCGCGCATGGCATCCGCACAATGCCGCAATGCATCCATGGGGGTCGCGGCCCAGGAGCCTGGAGCGCGAGTCCGCAGACATGGAAATGCCTCCCGCCGACGAGGGGAGACGTGGACATGCTTCCCGCCCGCGAGGGGAGGAGCGGGGTGTAGGACGGAGACGGAAACGGCAGCGGCCATGATGGGGCCAACTACTGCGGGAGGTGGTGCCTCGGGGGGGTGGCTCAGGAGGATCTCGGAAGGACCTCGGGAGAGGGCTCCGCAGGCTGCCCTGGTCACCCGAGACTGGCCCCAGGACTTTGGGCAGGCAGAGAGGTGGAGGAGGAGGAGGAGGAGGAGGAGGAGGAGGAGGAGAAGGAGGAGGAGGAGGAGGAGGTCGAAGAGGAGGAGAAGGAGGAGGGGGTGGAGAAGGAGGAGGAGGATGAGGGAGAGGAGGAGGAGGAAGAGGGAGAGGGAGAGGACGGGGAGGAGGTAGAGAAGGAGGAGGAGGAGGAGGAGGAGGAGGAGGAGGGAGGGAGGAAGAGAACGGGGAGGAGAGAGAGGATCGTCGGAGAAGGGGGAGAGGGGGGACGAGGCTCGGAGTGTGCTGAAAGGCAGGGTGGAGAGCGGCAAACAGGGAAAGAGACAATCGAGTAGGCCATCAGGCCACAGTATCCACATCCCCCGTCTGTCCGCCTCCTTCTCCTGCTGGCTGATACTCACACCTGGTCTCGGGTGTGGGCAGTGGTTCTCCAGGCAAAGTGGACAGAAGTCGAGGCCTCAGAGTTCAGCCTTCCTGAAAATGCCCAACCCAGATGTTTGGCAGATCGGCTCACTATTTGGACCTGGTATCGATGGCTAAAAAAACCTCTCCCAGACAGCCAATCAATCGGGTCGATCGCATAATCGAACTAATCGAACCGATCCCCCAGTATTGGAGACGGGTCGGACTTCGAGGGTGCGCGACCGAATCGAATGATGCCAGCCGCAGGCGTCGACTTGCATAACCGAGCCGATCGCACCGTGGACAGCCCCAGCTGATCTTGCAGCGCTGGCCCTGGCCAGGCATGGGAAAGCAGTGACACCACGCACTCCGAAAAACGCTCGGCGCTGGCGCCGTGGGCAGACGCCCTCGTGCGCACGCGACGGGCGGCCGCATCCTCCTCCGCCTCCACCTCCACCTCCGCCTCCAGGAGGCGCAGGTGGAGGTGGAGGCGAGGGAGTGCCCATGCGCTTGTTCAGGAGGTTCTGGCCCGGAAGGTTCTGGGGTGCTCGGGGGCGTGAGTCAACCTTCTCCTGGTCATCGTCGTCGTCCTCCTCCTCCTGCTCCTTCCCATCTTCCTCCTCGCCTCCCATAACCCCCTCTGGGCACATCTCCCCGAAAAACCGCCGAGAATTCCCCGGAACTTTCCGACACAAATCGGCCCCCGGATCTGTCGTGGAGCGGACTCGGCCGCAGCGACAGGCCCAGAGAAGGAGGAGGAGGAGGAGGAGGAGGAGGAGGAGGAGGAGGAAGAGAGGAGCAGCAGGACCCGACCCTCTCCCCCACCTCCCCTCCTCCACCCGGAGGTGCCCCTGGCCAGAGGTGCCCCCAGCTTCTCGCTCCATTCTGGGGCCCCTGGGGCCCTCTGGGCCTCGTGGGGGGTGCTCCGCAGGCCGTCGGGGCCTCCTTGGAAATCCCGGGGGCACCTTGGGCCAGGGGCACTTCCAGCCACGCCCGACTTTCCTCATCCGCCTCCCCGGCCGCCTCCGCCTCCTCCTCCTCCTCCTCCTCCTCCTCGTCCTCCTCGTCCTCCTGCTCCTCCTGCTCCTCCTTCTCCTCCTACTCCTCCTCCTCCTCCTCCTGCTCCTTCTGTTCCTCTTCCTCCTTCTCCTCCTACTCCTCCACCCCGGAAGCAGAAGAGGAGGCGGAGGAGGACAACGACGACCACGACGACGACCACGACGGCGGGCGACGGCGGCGGCGACGACGGCTAGGAGAGCACCCCGCCGCGGCGTCGCCCACCCTGGACGGCTCCCCGCGAGCGCCAGCGCCGCCGCCGCCGGGGGCCGCCCGCCCTCGCACGGCTGTGGAGAGGCGCGCCTGCCGCTGCGCGGCGGGCGCGTGGACGGGGTGGCAGCGGACAGGCGGCAGCCAGACCCCCTCGAGTCGTGAAAAAAGCACGACGGGATGGGTCGAACAGAGACATGCTAGTACGATCGATCTATGTATTTGTACATATACATTCATGTACAACATATATTTATATATACATGTGTGTATAGAAATTCTCCTTGAAGGCGACCTTCCCAGCCGAACACATAATATATACTATGCCCGTCTTGTAGTATATCGTTTCCCGAGCGGTGCGGCCAGAAAGCGCCCGCCACGACGCATATACTATAAGATAAGATTTCTCGGTGCGCGCGTCGCCCCTGGGGGGACGACGCAAACATAGTAGTGGTATGTTGGGGTGAGGCCGATGGGATTTGTTTCGCCGTCTTCGGCCGCTGGGGGACCTCGCTGGGCCTCGGGAGAACGAATCAACGACTCAGGATGAGAAACCCGTCCCGGGGAACGGGTCGAGACCTCTGGGGGTCGACGTCATGACGAAAAGCCATGACGTCGGGGGTCTGGGCAGGCGGCACCGCTGCGGCACCGCGGCTGCCTTGGGCCGGAACGCTGGCCCCGCCATCCTCGCAGCAGCCCGCAGCCGCTTCGCGTGGGGACGGCCAGGCAGGGTGGCCGCCCCCCTTGCCCACGGAGGCGCGCGGCTAGGAATGGGGCGGGGCGGGAGGCGAGCAGAAGGCAAGCCCGAGAGCGCGGACGCCTCGCAGTCGCTGGACAAGAGCGGCTCGGCGTTCCGCAACAAGGAAAAGCGACACCACCTCCACCAGCGCGACAAGCCAAGCGGGGGTCCTCCTGGTGGTATGGTCCCCTCTCCCCGCTCGAGACCTCCCCCTATCCCCAGCTCGGGGGGGCATGGTGGACCTCGCCTCCGGTGGTGGTGGTGTCGCTGCCCCTTCCTCCGAAGTGGCGCGCTGGACCGAGTTGGCGGCAGGGTGGATACCGACCATACTTCTTGGCATCGCAGCCGCGCGCGCAACAACGAGGTGGAGTCAGGGCGGCCGGCAAATGCCCAGCGCCCCCATGCTCACTCATGGTCGGCGTCGTCGTCGGCGTCGTCGGCGTCGTCGTCGTCGCGGTTGTCGCTGAGCAGCCCTGGCGAGGAGTCGCAGGGCCCACACCAGGGCACCCACGCTGCGCAGCGACTCGCGGCGGAGACATCGGCGAAGGGCCACCTACACACCTTACGGTAGGCACGTCGAACACGAAAACCGCAGTCGTCTTCTTTCCTGGAGGCCCCGATGTCCCAGAGAGGTGTTGGGGCATCTTGGGGAGGTCAAACTCACCAATCCTCTGGGCCAGTGGCGTGCTGTAATCTCTGGTAAGAGGTTCAATGCACTCCCGTATGTCTAGTTCGCTCGGGCGTGGCAGCCCCGGTCACGCTGCCCGCCTCCGCCGCCCACTCCACCCCCTCAGTGTTGGACAGCAGATCATTGCCGTGCCACTCTGGCGTCATTGTTTGGACGTCCGTCGCGAAGGGCGTGATGCAGCCAGGCTCCTTGGCAATCGCATCAACTGCCAGAGGCTGCTTTGTTCTTAACACCTCCACGATCTTCGCCGCAGAAGCCTCTCTCTGCCCAAGTGGCGTAACGCTCCGTGTTTTGAACGCCCCGCGCGCAGCCTTGATAGCTCGGTCCATGTCTTCTACGCTCCCATCAGGCACACGAGCAACGACCTGCCCATTGCTGGGGTCAAGTACATCGATCGTGTTGGGCGCTTTGGTGGAGTCCACGCAGGCCCCGTTGATGTTGCCGCTCTCTCTGCCGAGCGCGAGAGGAAATGTTGGTCAAAGCACGGACTCCTTACGCAAAGCTTGCAGCGGCCAACATGAGAGGCGAGGACGAAGAAGAAGAACGAGGAAGAGGACGATGGAGCAGGAAGGAGGAGTTGTTTTCATCCATCGACTTCGGGGAGACAAAGGATCCACATTGCTTGAGTCTGTGGAGCGTGTGCGAGCGAACTGCATTAGAAAGATTCCCGGCGCAGGGCACGGTTGCCCTATCTCGCCTGTCTGGGGCGCGCCACGCGAGCAGGGGGCTACGACGAGCGTAAAAACCTGCTGCGTCCTCGATGCTGACCCTGAGGGGAGGATGGGACATCAATGGCGTGGAGGACGGAGGATAGGGAATACGCTTTGCCAATACGAGGATTGAGCATAATGGTGTAGAGGCACGAGGCATGCGATGAAGGAGAGGATCAGGACTTCGATGGGGGATGGGGGGGGGGCCAGCGGCACCAGCGAAACTGCTGGAGGAGCTGTGCCCTCGGCGAGCTCAGTGTCTCCGATCTACGAGGAGGCGACGAGGCACGCGGTTCGAGGAGCGGATTCCCTGTTGACGGCTTTCGCATTTGGGAGGCCTCCTGGGAGGCTTCTCGTCGACACAGCTGGGTTCACCTTACAAAATTTGGCCGACACGCCCTCCACAGAGTGTCCAGCGGTCGACTTTGAATGAAAGAAGACGGCGGGGGGACGGGGGGAACGATGAGACACCTCAGGCGGCCGACGGTACCGATGTCTCAGGACAGCCCAACAAGAAGTGGGAGCGCTGCAGCACGCAGGCACGAAACATGATCTGTACTAGCAGCCTCGATTTCAATGCCATCATGATGATGCAGGCTGTCATGATTGCGGCGAGTGCGCCCACAATAAATCATAATGCCAACGCACATGCCGCGCGTGTACATTCGCGAGGGGGGATCGCGCATACGTGCAAGTGGCAGTCGTTGCAATGCGAACGCACATAAGAAGCAAGCACCGCCTGCGAAGCTACGGTGATCACCCCCGCGGCGCAGCTGCTGGGCTCGAGAGGATGTAGATGGAAAGCGGTGGCGAAGACAGCAATCCGATGACGATGCCTGGGCTGGATATCGACCAAGCTGATGCGTCGGTACATAGACACGTGAGGTCGGCTCGAATTGCCTGTACGACCTGTGCTGCTTACAACCTCTCACGGCACGGTAATGTGTCATCGAATTCCATCTGACTGCGTCGGCACAACGACACGTACCTCAAATGCTGTGTGAACACATACTAAGTACAACGCTTTGGAAATTGTGAGCATCGGAACCGTCAAACGACAACTTGAACCAACATCGAACCAACTTGACGAATAACATATGGTGCCGGATGTCTGTATACACCCACCCCACCACGCGTCGTGCACGTATGGCACGCCTTTTCTGGCGCTGGCCCATGGCACTCAGCTTCCGCGTCTGCAGTCGACCTGGGCAGGGTCGCAAATTTGAGGAGGCAAGACAAGCGCTGTCTTGTACGAGCATGAGGGGGAACGAGGAGCAGGGGGGCAGGGTGAGCACTAGGAGGAACACATTGTGAGGAGGTGGAGAGCACGGCGGGATGCTGATGGTGACAGACGACTTGGACCCGAACACCGTGCTTCCATCTGCGAACGCGGGCTGGCCGCGGCGCTGGGCTGTGTCTGGCACTCGGAGCCCGGGTGCGCCATCGAAGTCTACCCCGATTCCCCCGCCATCCCTCCCGTCCTCTTCCCGCCTTGGGGCCTCCTGGGGCACTCTTCAAGCGGGAGGGTCGAATTTTGGAGTCGTGGTCCCCCTCTTGGGCGCATCTTGGGGCCGTCTTGGGGCTCTGTTGGGCTGTCTTGGGCGACTCTGGGGCCGTCTTGGGGCCCTCTTGGGCCGTCTTGGGGCGCTCGTGGGGGCCTATTGAGCCGTCTTGGAACGTCGGACAGCCGAAAAGGCTGGAAGGCCAAAATCGTTCGAAAACCTTAGTAAAATTGACGATTTCGGCCTCTTGAAGCGCTCTGGAGAGGCATCTTGAAGCGTCGTGGAGTGCCGTGGAGGGCCTCTCGGGCCGTCTTGGGCCTATCTTGGGCGTCCTGGAGCGGTTTTTCGGCGACTCGGGGCCCGCTTGGGCCGTCTTGGGAGCCTCTGGAGGCCCTCCTGGACTATTTTGGACTCCCCGGCCGCCCCGTCCTCCCATGGGGGCTCGGAGGCGGCGGCCTCCGAGGCCCAGGACGCGGAAATCATGTAAAAACACAAAGAACATGCGCCCCTGTATCCCCATGCCCCGTCGGGGCAGCCGCCCCGGGCGCCCGGGCGTCGTGCACGGGATAACTATATGTGTATATATATACATATATATATATATATATAATATATATATATATATATTATATATGTATGGGTTCAAATGCGTGTGTCGCAGCAGCGACGCGCATAAGTGCTCATACGGCTTCCAGCAAATACACGGAGGGCCACGCGTTCTCAAAACGTGCCTCTCGCCCGAGTCCTGCGCTTATCGGCGTGACATGCTCGAGCAACTCTGCGGATGAAGAGCGTTTTGTCCAACGGGTATTCTCTCGCTCGCGGCCTCCTTACCTAGACTACGGAGAGGATGCAATGTCGTCAGACGCCTGCATGATCGGACTGTGGTGCCCTTTCAAGTTGGGGCTCTCGCGGATACTGTTTTGACGTGTCTGGTCATACATAGTTGTGGCGGGCACTCCCTCGAAAGACAGGCAGACCGTCGCCATTCAAGGGGGAGGCACTGTCCGAAATGAAGCTGTTGGGACGTATGAGGGTGGGGGGCTTTGGACGGCAGCATCGTTGATGCGTCATGGCGTTTGTTCTGGACCTCCTCCTCCTCCTCCTTCTCCTCCGCCCTCAATTCCTCCTCAGCAGCTGCGCGTCGTGACTCAGTACATATCGATATCCTTCATCAGAGTCTTAACGGCGTCCTCGCCCAGGTTCGCCCACGGCTTGTGGAAGGCGCAGGGCGTCGGGTGGAACACAATCTCCACGGAGAATCTCATGGCCGACTCGCGTGGCGGAAACGTCGCGTTCCGTTGGAGCAAAAGCTTCACCAGGGTAGAGTCCTCGTTCTCGGTGAACAGGTCGGGGTCCTCACCGATCAGCTCGGCCATCTCCGGGCTCCGAACCGCCGAAAGAATGGTGGACAATCTTCGCAGCGAGAAGCCTCCGTTGCCCCCCACGGCAGGGGGGCCCCAGCGAGCACCCATGCCCCATGGCGCACCCACGTAGTCGTAGCCGTTGTCGACGTATTCGTCCACACAGCCGCGCTTGCGCAGCAGGCTGTCGGACTCGAACACCAGCACGTGCTCGTGCTCGGGGCGCATCGCGCCCCAGAAGCCGTCCGAGAGCCTGAAATAGCTGCACTCGCCGTGGTTCAGACTCACTCGCCGCTTACCCTGCAGCATTATGGGGGACCAGATGACGCCCTTCGGCTTCCCAAGGGCCTCGTCCAAGCCCGCTCGTTCCTCCTCTGTGCCGTAGAAGACCTGCAGCGCCCAGTCCGGACCGAGCCTGTGCAGGTTCGAGCGGATCACGTAAGCCATCTGTGCGATGTGCTCTGGCGTAGCTGGCTGCAGGATGGTTACAGCGACTCTGTCTGTCTTCTGCGCGGGTTCGACACGCCAGTGCGACACTGTATCCAAAGTGCTGTTGATGAATCTCTGGAAAATCTGCATGCGGTGCTTCCATCCGGGCTTGGAAGTCTCTGCAGCCTGCAAGCCCTGTGCCGCCCGCAGGCCCTGGGTGACTGCCGACACTGGGGCGGCCGCAGACAAGGCTAGGGCTGCCACGAGCGCCGAGCGGAGCGTCCTTGCCATGTGTTCCTCCCGGACTGGTGGGTCGGGGAGGCCCGATGTAGTACAAACTAAGATGGCATATGGAAGCTGCAGGAGAGAGAGCTTGCGCCGAAGCAGCGGAGGCAGAATGCGGATGAGGTCGAGAGGGCTAGCTGGCCAGACAAGTAGCCCACGCACACAGAAGGAGAAACAACCGCAGAAACATAATTTTTTGGCGCTCCGCGCAAATTTATTGGATCTGCGCTGGACCCCCCCTCCATGGCGCGCTCACCGCGCCAGGGGCGGCGCCGGAGGCGCCGCTGGGGGGTCCCAGCGCGGACCCAGGAAATCCGCGCGGAGCGCCACAAGTGTATGTTTGTGGCATCTGTGCTTCTTCGAGCACTGCCCACATCCGACCCTGATCCTTCGGCAGAGTGAGTATCATGAAACCGATCCCCATCCTCAGCGGCGTGACCTGGGCCCCGCTGGCCGAGGCTATAGGGATATATGATCCAGGGTCGAGGGTTCACGGGCCCCCCCCCAGATGGTATGGTCCCAGGATTCCTCGGCCCCCCCCAGAGACGACGAGGACGACGACGACGGCGACGACGACGACGGCGACGACTACGACGACGGCGACGACGACGACGACGACCACGACAACGACGACGACGGCTGCGGCGGCGACGACGCCGGCGGCGGCGGCGACGACGATGATGACGACGATGACGACGGCGACGACGACGATGACGACGACGATGACGACGAGGACGACGAGGACGACGAGGACGACGACGATGACGACGACGATGACGACGAGGACGACGAGGACGACGAGGACGACGAGGACGACGACGACGACGTCGACGTCGACGACGATGACGACGAGGACGACGAGGACGACGAGGACGACGAGGACGACGACGACGACGTCGACGTCGACGACGACGACGACGACGACCTCTGAACCACCACAGCACCACACTACATCCACAGGGGGGGGAGGGGGGCACCGCAGCGCAGCACCACGCCACGCCCACTTCTGAACCACCACAGCACCACACCACATCCACAGGGGGGGGAGGGGGGCACCGCAGCGCAGCACCACGCCACGCCCACTTCTGAACCACCACAGCACCACACCACATCCACAGGGGGGGGGGGGGGCACCGCAGCGCAGCACCACGCCACGCCCACAGGGGGGGCGGGGGGGCCATCGCGCGGGGGGGGGGCCCAATGGCATCAGCATTGGGGCGGGGGGGGGGGGGGCAAGCCCTGGACCATCTATAGGTCATTCCCTTCGGGCCTCGAGGGGCGTATCCCCACTGGGGTGGTAATTTAATGGGGGTCTCGAAGGGGATGGGGATGGGGATGGGGATTGGTTAAACGATACTGACTGTTGAGCAGGGACTGACCGTCCCTACCACGACATGTTTTTAGAACCCAAACCTGGTCTAAGAACACCAGCAATGCTATCAGAACATAAACCCGATAAGAGAAAGCAAGACAGGCTCCGCCAGAAATGCTTTACGAACACCTCGTGGAAACCACAGAAGGTCCTCGGGACACTGCTTGGCAGGGCCCCAAGCGAGCAGGGACGCCTCGCCACTGCTTGCGACTGCGGGCGCCCAGCGGCCTCACGGCTTCCCCGGACGCCGTGGCGCACGGCAGCGCCCGCGGCGTGCGGCTCCTGGCCGCCGCCCCGCCTCGCCGACCCGCCGCCCGCCGGCCGGCTCGCCTCGCGGCCCGAGTCGCGCCGACGCCCCGCACTGGCAGCCCGACGTCGGGCAGGCCCCTTCTGCAGGAGGCATCTGCAAGAAGAGGGAAACAAGAATCTCAGGTGACGCCTCTTCGTGCTCTTTTTGGCTTGTTTTTGCCGCCCTGTTTTGGGCTCTCTCCCTTTTTTCCTGCCAAGATCCCCCTTGGGGAGGACATGCCCGACCTAACGGCAGCCTGTTGCCCCGCCGCGACCCCACGCCGGCCGCCACACCTGGTCCCTGTAGGCGCGCCCCGCGCCCTCGCGACCCGGAACCCGCCGACGACCCGCCTGCGACGTGCAGGCAGGCCCAAAAGAAGGCCGCCCGTGGGCGCTGGACGCCCCGAGGCAAGAAAAGCAGCGAAAAAGTCTGGACGCCCGAAATGGGTACGGAAGATATGGGTACAATGCCAAACAACAAATGTTGTCTCAAGCAAACAGCGGCTACTGCGTTGGCAGGCGGATTTCTGTCTCAACTGGACACAGGCCGCGGCGACACCGACAGCGAGTCCTGCTCAAAATGAACAAGAACTGCAATTGGGCATTGAACCAATTCTTTCCGTACTCATTCCGCTCGCGCCGAACAAGGACATCCTCCGAGAAGCGCGCGCAGGGGGAGGAGGAGAGACATCCACGGCAGCGGCAGAGGAACAGCAGCGTGCCGAAGGCGAGGGGGGGTCAAGAACGCTCCGCGACGAGCCCACCCAGAATGCGCAGGGCTTGAAGAGAGAACGTGCCTGCTGGGCGCCTCGGTCGGGAACCCCTGCGGGGCCCGCGTCGTCGACGTCGTCGTTTTGGGTGCACTTCTGGAGACCTGCTGCCGTCGTGCGCGGGTCACTTCTGGGGGCTCCGGTGGCGACGGCTGGGCGCGGCTCGGAGGACGGGTCAGGTGTCTGCTTTTGAACGGATTCTGGTCGGGGCGCGCATTCCCACACGATCGCTCTCTCTCGAATCTGAGGTGCACTCGTGCCCGCTGGCGCCGTAGCTGGGGTCCCACGTAGGGCATGAGCTGTCAGAGGGGCGTTCCTAAATCAGCCTTGGTTCCAACGAGAGCACGCCTACTGGCGCCGAACCTGGGGCTCCGAGATGCTCCAAATGAAGAATGAAGGATGTGATCGACGCCCCAGAATGCGCCAAAGCTTGAACATGAGCATGCCCGCTGGAACCGCAGGTATGTCAGGGCGTCGCAACATGAGGTGTGTGAGTAAAGACCTCCTGGGTCGGAGTAGACGGGATCGGAAGATCGCGCCGACGTCGGCGATGCATCGGCGACGTCGACGTGAAGCAAATCGGGCCCCACATCGAGCCACGTCGGCGATGCATCGGCGATGCGGCGCGATCCTCCGACCCCAGCCACAGTCAACCCATATAGTGAGGACTAGAACCACGCGCGCATGTCGCTTAGGTTCTAGACGCGCTCGAAGATCATCATCGCAAACTACCGTGGTTCTACATAGAGTGACCATGGAGATCCTCTCCTACTCTGGCTCTGATTCCTACTGCTCTTTTTCCTCCCCATCCCCCCTTCTTGTCTCTTTCCTTACCTTCCTTGCTCCGCCTCCTCCTCCTCCTCGAACGCGCCTTCGGTGATGTTCTTGGCCTCGATCGTCGATTCCCCTCCTGCCTGGATCCCCGTCTCATTCACACTCATTCTCCCGATGGCCTCCAAGATGGCCCCAATCGAGAGACGAAAGCTCCAAAGCAAGGGCCCCGAAAGCCCCCAAGAGATCCCCAGGAGGCGCCCACGACGCCAGAATCCTTCACACACCCTCGGAAAACAATAGTTTTGTTCGCCTTCTCGCCGATTTGCTTTCGGCGTGCTTCCTGGGCTTCAAGCTGGCTTCCTGGGAAACCGCAGATGTTGGCCTTCTGGCCGATTTGCTCTCGGCGTGCTTCCTGGGCTTCAAGATGGCTCCAAGATGGGCCTTAGGGCCAAGCGGCGCTCCCCTCCCCGGGCCTGCAGGGGTCCGGTCGCGAGGTGTCGGAGGGCCTGTTGGGCTGATGATGGCACCAAGTGGAGCCCATAGGTAGGGAACCCACAAAGGACGTACGCGCCCAGCTATGTACATGAACGCGCGCCAGGCTATGTACAGACTGGCCGCGTGATACGAACACTTGCGCAATGCGCACTCTCGAAACCAGCGCGGATTCATGTACGTGTACGTCCTTTTTTCGCTCCTGAGTATGGCCCAACATGGCCTCCAATGTCGCACAAGAGAGCCACAGATAGCTGACAATGTGTTTTGATATGCCTCCAAGAGGGGCCTCCTGGAGGCGTCCTCCTGGAGGCGGGGGGGGGGCCCGCGCTGGGCCGACAGACCCAGGCCGCTGGGAATCGTCTCCGCGCCCCGTCTGGCCCCTCCAGGCAGGGCGAGGAGGAGTAGTAGGACGAGGAGGAGGAGTAGTAGGACGAGGAGGAGGAGTAGTAGGACGAGGAGGAGGAGGAGGAGGAGGAGGAGGAGGAGGAGGAGGAGGAGGAGGAGGAGGAGGAGGGGCCTTCCAGGCGCCTCCTGGAGGCGTCCTGGGCCGCCTGGAGTCCGAAGGCTGTCCTGGCCGTCTCGGAACTCCGAGGGCCCGCCGGGGAGCCCCCGGGTAAGGGCGGGGGCCGCTCTGTACGAGCGGGGCCCCCCTCCGGTGCCCTAGGGCCCAGACCTTCCGTGTGTGTATGCATATATGTATACACATTGTATACATATACATATATATGTATATATATGTGTGTGTGTGTGTCTATATACCTACATCGCATGTGCGCATGTCGGGTGGTTGAACACGTAGATGAACCACATACAGGTTTGGCTACAGTTAGAGATATGCACATGCATACGTATATACATACATATATATAGATCAATAGATGCTTAATAATATGCATGTGCACCTATATATATATATATATATATACACATAAATATAGACACATAGATAGATCGATATACACATGCAGATTGGCCTTCGGACCATCCCGCCACGGTGCCTGGGCTGTGTGTCAAAGGCTTCTTGGGTGTTCGTTGGTACCTCGTGGGGGGCCTCTCGGGAACCTTGTCGAGGGCGGCCGTGAAGCCTCTTGGGGCCCGTTTCGGGGCTTCTTTGGGCCTCTTTTTGGCCTCTTGGGGCCAAGAGCCTCGAGACGCCTCGTCGGGCCCTCTTTGGGCCTCCTGGGTGCTCCGCAGGCCTCCGAAGGCCCTCCGAGCGCCTCCGGATCTCCTCGAGAGCATCGATGCATCCGAGCGGCTGCGCCTTCAAAGCATCCCCAAAGCGCTCGGCGCCCCCCCGTGGATGGCCGACCGACGACCCGCGCAAGCCTCCGAGAGCCCCCAGGGGACTCCCCAGGGCCTCCGAGGGCCTCCGAGGGCCCCTGAAGGCCCCCGACGCCCTCCGAGCTTCCTTGTCCGGATGCGCAGAACGCAACCCGCAGCGAGTTGACACGAAGCGCAACACGTAGCCTGAAGACGCAGGCCTGGCGCGAGACGCTCCCCAAAACGTGGGCCCACACGTGCCGAGCCAACACGCAGCGCGTTCAGCCCATGCGTTCTGAACATGGCACGCGCTGCGATTCAACACGGGCGCGTCAAGACGGCTACGCCCTGGCGGCCTCCGCAAGCCCTCGAAGCCCCCCGAAAGACTCCGAGGGCCTCCGAGGGCCTTCCGGATGCCTCCGAGGGCCTCCGAGTGCCTCCAAAGGCCTGCGAAGGCCTCCAGAGGCCTCCGAAGGCCTCCGAGGCCCCCGACGGCCTCCGAGAGGCCTCCGAAGCCCCCCGACGGCCTCCGCGGGCCTCCCGGGGACCGCGGGAGCCGCTTCGGGCGGCGCGCCCCGGCCTCGGGAGCGCCCGCGCCAGCGCGGCGCGGCAGTGGCCCCACGCGGCGTCCAGGGCGGCGGCCCGCGGGCCGGCCTCGGGAGCAGCCGCAGCCACCTCCCCGGGCGGGCTGTCGCCCAGCACGGCGGCCACGACGACGACGGCGACGGCGACGGCGACGGCGACGGCGCCGTCGTGGTCGTGGTCGTGGTCGTGGTCGTGGTCGTGGTCGTGGTCGTGGTCGTGGTCGTGGTCGTGGTCGTGGTCGTTGTCGTCGTCGGGGTCGTCGTGTTCGTTGTCAGCGCCGTGGTCTCAGTGTAGTCGTCAACGCCGCCGTGATCGTCGTCGCGATCGTCGTGGTCGAAATCATAACGGTCGCGGTTGCGGCCGTGGTCGTGGTCGTCTTGGTCGTCTTGGTCGTGGCCGTGGTGGTCTTGGCCGTGGCCGCTGCCATATTGGATGTCTGCTGGCCGAAGCGAAGATTTCACAGCCTTCCTTGGGGAGGGGAGGATGAATCTCCATCTGCCCATTCTGCCCTGTGCCCCCTCTACACCTGATATTCCGTCCCGCCTTGCGAGCCCTAGGTCAGGCGGGCAAAGCAAAGCGAGGCCAGAAGCTGTCAGAACGACTGCCAACCAAAACAGTGATTGGAAGTTCTAGAGGGGGCGGAGGTAAGCTAGGTGCGCTCGCGTCATATCTGACGTCCTACACCTACCTCCCATCCTTTACCATTGCGCAGATATCCTCCCTATTCGCACTATCGGATGTCGTAGAATGGCGTAGCATTACATGGCATAGCATGGTGTTGAATATTAACGCGTAGCATGACCTAGCATGGCGTGGCGACGCACCAACATGGGGAAGGAGGATAATCGAGATAAGGAAAACAATGAGCTTGAGGAGCAGGATGGGCAGCGCGGCCAGCAGCGGCAGACCGGCTGGTCTGCCTGGTTGATTGCGCCCTTATTTACCTCTACGCCGCATCCCACCCTCACTTTTCGTCCGTTCGTTTCTGCTGCTTGGCGCCCTTCGCAACATCACCATGACACCCACAACAAAAAGACACCACAGACAATCCAAATCAGCCCGCCTTGGATATAATGTAAGGCGACACGCTGGCCGCTGGCGGAAACAAGAGATAACACGTGTGGTTGTTTGTCCGTGTTCTCTACTCGATACCCTGCATTACTCTCTCCACTCGGCCCTATCAACACCATGTATCATGTTATGTTCCATACGTTATCTATGCATTATGTTATGTTCATCGGTGCATGAAATCTACCCTGCACTCTTTACTCGTCACTCTCTTCTCTCTACCCTCTACCCTTTCTCTCTACTCTCTACTCTCCACCCCCTGCTCTCCGCTATCTGATGTCTACTATACCTTCTCTGTTGTCTCTCTACTCTTCTGGCTCCCGATGCATTTTTCAGTCCCCCTGGCATTTCTGATGCTCTCGGCTCTCACCGCTCCCCGGACCCGGACAGTGCCTGCACGTAGGGGCTCCTACTCCGCGCTTCCTCAAAACGAATACCAATCTGGATGGGCTTCTGCTGGTGCCAGGTTGGTGCACGGTCGTGGGCGCCCGTGACGCCGTGGGTGCCTCATGCCCCCCACCCCTTGCCGGGAGGGTAGACCCTGAGGTTTCGGCGGCGGGTGCCCCGTTATGCTGCACGGTCGTGGGCGCCTCGTGGGCACCTCGTGGCCGGCCCTTGTGCTGGGGGGGAGGCCCGACAGCAAAAGTTTCGGCTGGTGCCCGGAGGGTGTGCTGTTGGCGCCCGGTTCTGGGTGCCGCACAGCCTGCATCGCGCAGACTGCACCACCCAGTCTGCACCACCTCGTTTGCACCACACGGGTGGCGCCACGAAGACTGCACCACACGGCTCGCATCGCATCGTTTTCATCACGCAGCTTGCACCACGCCGCTTGCATCACAGAGCTTGCACCACGCACCCTTCACCACATCAATTATTCCACATCGCTTGCACCTCATAGAGTGCCCCCCACGCAGTTCACACCATATCGTTGACACCAAATAGCCTGCACCACCTACTTGATTTACACCACGTTGATTGCACCACACACATTGCATCATAAAACTTCGACCACATGGACTGCATTTCATCTCTCCATCGAACCCGCTATATATGTACACGCATGTGTTAGCCATTGTGAGCCCCAAACAATGAATCTAGCCAACTCAGTGCAATGTGCTTTCTGCAGTCTACGTGTTGCAATCGACGTGGCGCAATCAAGTGCGAGAAACTTGAGGTTGTCAGCCCCATTGCTCGCGCAATCATCCCACCCACCCGCAATTTGGCTTATTAAACCTACACGGAGGCCACTGCGATGAGTGCTTGGTGCTGGATGGTGCATCTCTGCGGCCGCGCTAGCTCGCTCATGCCCGCGCGCACAGAGGCCGGATATTTGGGCGCGGCCGACGCGGCCGCAGTGGCGCTGATCGCTGGGCACTTCCCAGCGGGCACTGCAATGCCAGTCGGTGACTTGGGCGGGTCCGGTATCATGGCGACGCCGACAACGGTTGACACGAAGATGACCATGGCAATGACGGTGACGATGATAACAAAGACGGCGGCAAATCCAATGAAGGTGCCGATGCTGATCACCCCGATGATGACGGTGCCGTCGCGTCGGACATGCAGGTTCGAACGGAGTTCGACATGCGCGATCGGCCGACGCGAGCGAGCGGCTCGAAGGATCTAGTTAGACTGAGATCGTGCCCCCCCCACCACGCGCGCAAAGACATTCGAATGAGTTCGGCATACGGCGCGAGGGCCCCACTGGTCGCATTCGATGGAACGTTGAAGAGGACACGGTTTCCTAACACTTCGCGCGAGCGCGCACGCAGACCTTGTCTTTGAAAACTGATGTTGCGCAACCATGTATTGCTTATACATTTTCGGGACACTCGGTGTTGAACTCATTACGGCACCGAGAAATTTTGAAGATTTCGGGACGCAAGCGCGGCAGCCCGCGTGTGGACATAGTCCCATCCGCTGCAAGGGATTATTGCGACAGCACCCGTGTAAGGGCGTTCGAGCAATTTCGGCGTGCGCGCGCGACAGGCACGCTTGATCGCATCCGATTAACCCATTTAGAACCCGTATGGCTTTCTCAAGAAGTCGTAAGGGCGCAAGCTGGCGACACCTAAGAATTTTGGAAATGTTCCGGCATGCGAGCGCGACGACGCGCGCGTGTACACTTCGTCAAATTCATTCCTGGAGTTTTTGGAATTTCGTTTTTTGAGTAACGAATCATCGGGGATGTTTGCTGCTACCAAGGACAGGAGGGGACCCATAAAGAATCGCCTGGGATTGTACGAATTCATATTTCGGATGGGCGATGGGGCAAAATCGCATGTGAGTTCCAAAGGAACAAAGCGGACGGTTCGCAAGACTGGGGGAGGTACTGAAACTTGTTGGGAAAGAGTCGACGTGGTGAAATCCAGAGATGCTCGCAGTGAGTTGTTAACTCCACTGCTCGCGCAATCATCCCACCCACCCACCCGCAACTTGGCTCGCAAAACCCTGCGACGTCGATTGCGATGAGTGCAAGGCGTTGGCAGGCGCACCGCTGCAGCCGCGCGAGCCCGCGCGTGCTCGCGCGCGCAGCGGCCAGCTAGTGCGGCGCGGCCGACGTGGCCGCGGTGGCGCTGACCGCTGGGCACTTCCCAGCGGGCACATCAGTGCGAGTCGGTGACTTGGGCGGGCGCGAAATCATGGCGATGCCGGCAGCTGTAGACACGATGGTGGGAGTGGCGATGATGATAACGAGGGTGGCGATGACGACGGCAAGGCTAATGACGGCGCCGATGTTGTCACGCCCGCCGATAACGATGACGATGTTTTCGCATCGGTGATGAATGTTTTGGAAGGAGTTCGACATGCGCGCGCTGGACGCGTGCGAGAAACCCGCGTGGCATTATTTAAAACGGATCGTGCACCCACCAGCACGCGCGCAAAGGTGTTTTGAACAAATTCGGCATGCGAGCGCTTCGTCCCATTTGTTGCAAACGATTCTTGCGACAGCACGCGCGCAAGGGCGTTCGAACGATTTTGACATGCGCGCGCGAGAGGCCCGTTTGGAAATATGCGATTCACATGATGCAAACACGATGGCTTGCTGAAGAACCTGCAAGAGCGCGAGCGCAGGCTCTTTTTGAAAATCATGGTTGCGAATGCACGTGTTTGTTTAGATGTCTTCATGGCACTCGAGTGTGAACTCGTTACGATACCCACGGTTTTTACCAGACTTTGGCATGCACGCGCGACGACGCGCGCATGTTCCAGGGGTTTGGGGAAACGACTCATTTTTGATAAACGAGCGCGCGCATAATATGTTTTGCATGGGATGCGGGGGGGGTCTCGATACCGGCCTAGCTGGCATGGTATGAGCTCATATAAAAAACGGACGATAAGGCAGAACCGGCTGCAAATTGCAATGCGACAAGAGGAGTGCTGTTGAATCCGGGGGCGGGGGGGTAGATCCAGACGAATCGGGCGCGGTGGGGCCTTCGGTGGAACTCCCTAATCGGCCACGAAAAGTGTGAGGGGTGTGCTGCGAGTGTTTCGGTGGAGCTCCCTATGGGGCCACGAAGCGTCCGAGGGTGTGCTGAATCGGTTGCGGGTGTGCCATGCGGACACTGCCGCTGGGGCCGTCAGTGGAGCTCTCTATGGGGCCACGGTGTGTGTGTGTGTGTGATGGATGTAAGGAATCGGGCGCGGGCACGCCATGCGGACCCTGCCGCTGGGGCCCTCGGTGAACCTCCCTTCTGGGCCACGAATCGTGTGAAGGATGTGCTGAATCGGTTGTGGCTACGCCATGCGGACCCTGCCGCTGGGGCCTTCGGTAGACGTCCCTTCTGGGCCACGAATCGTGTGAAGGATGTGCTGGATCGGGTGCGGGTACGCTATGCGGACCCTGCCGCTGGGGCCTTCGGTTGAGCTCCCTATGGGGCCACGATGGTGAAGAGATGAAGGCGTATACAAGGCAGAAGCAAGGATGGGAGGAGGGAGGACCGGGAGGGGGAAGGAAATCAGGGAACGCGGGGCGCTGCGTCTTCAAACCACACGATGGAAGTAAGAACCCCTCAGAGCAA